TGTACTTCTGAAGATATTTCTAGTCCTATGGCAGATTAGCGGGCCGGCACCAGCACCTAAGTGAATCCTAAGGAACTGCTTATTCATCGAGAATCTGGCCCATTTTCACTTTAAAAGTTTAAATTACTTAGCTCACTTCAAAAGTCACTCTTGATAGTCCCTGCTAATATTTATGGGTAAAACAATTTTTCACAATGAAGGAGAGTACATAATGCAACCTGATAGTGTAACCTGTCAGTAACAAGTTTTTCCTTTTTCTTTCTTTCTTTCTCTCTTTGTGATTTTTCTAAACTGAATTTTTAAAAAGCAATAAAGTCCAACTAATGTGATTTCATTTTTCTAATAAAATATTTACTGAAAAATAGGAGTTCTTGTGAGAACTGCAGGGATTAATGAAATTAAATAGGATTTATTAGTGATTAGCTGACTGCTTTATGTTTTTTTCTCAATTTAACATAATAGCATGTTTTCAAGTCTCTTTAATATTAATAAAATTAAACACATTAAATGATGATATACAGTTAAATCATTTGCACTGTTATATTTAATACTATACCAGTACTACCAGTTAAAGTACCTAAAATTTTTTTTTAACATTTCTCTAAAGACACTGAGGATGAAAGACATGTCAAAAAATTATTTTGACATAAGCGGTTTAATGCCACGATATAAATCAATCTAACAATTTAATCTCTAAAAAGAATCAATTATTATCTCAGAATATTGTTCAACACTTTATAGCCATAATCTAGAATATACAAATACCCTATTTGGCTTATTTTTTTCCCTCACAATGCTTTAATACTATGTGCAGACAGATTTCCTAGAAATACATTTCTGGTCTTTTCAATAAATTTTCTATTCGCCTTTTATGTGAAAATTTTAAATTTCAGCATCAAGTTTCTGGGCAAAAAAAAAAAAAAACAAACCATCTTAGAAACACATGTACTATAAACTATATATTCTGGAAAAGAATATGAAATAATTAAAAACAGTTTCATACTTAGTTCCAGATTTTATCCTATATTTGAAAACCATGTAAACCTTCTAATTTTAGGCATAAGATTCTTAAATTGATTGATCTACTCAATAAGTACATATATCCTTCTGTTTGTTGATATAACTCCAAATAAAGTAATAAAGATTAATATTAACTAAAAAACAACAGAAAATTAAAGCATCTTCTGGTTACAAAATTATTTTGCTTATGGAGGAAAACTCTCAGGCAAAAACATATGAAAATTAATTATTTTTTCAAAAGATACTTTCACCATTATTCTTGGGAAAACTTCTAAAATGGAGAAATCTCCAAACTGGTAAAGAATAAATGCAATCTATGATGGGACTCCTAAGTGCTCAATATTTTTTCCTGCAGCACTCCACACAGACAGCACATGTGTTTTTAAGATGTCTTGTTTTGAAATTTAATGTAAATTTTTCTTCTCTCTTCCCCTTTCACAACCAATCCTTTCTCAATCCTACACCACCTGTTAAAAATGTCCATTTGCAGTTATTAGAACATGGGAATTGAGAGAGAGAACAGAATTATTGCATGAAGTTTCCTAATCAGAATTTTAAATAATATAGTTGTGCATGGACTTTGAGAATTACTAGAGGTCTTTTTTTACTTTACACGTAGTCTAGCCTTTTAAACTAGGAAATGTACATTTTTTATAATATTTAAATTTAAACAAAAGCAAATTATCAGGACTCAAAATAACTGAAGATTTAAAGAAAGGTTGTCCTGGTAACCAAATATTGGTGGGTACTAACTGACATCCAAGGCAACTAGAGGAGAGAGAGAGAGAGAAGATGACGCCTTGGCATTCTCTGATCATCTCATTATTGTTCTAATGAGGAACTTTGCTCTGGGAATATCATCTCAGCTACTTTCACATCTTTTGTCCTACTCCCTTCATCTCCCTTTCAGTGCTTAATTAGGCCTTAAAGAGCTCACACTGCCCTTTCAACTGGCTACTGCTCCTGTTTAAACACTGTGCTTTCACAGACAGGTGTTGGCACTAGCATATAAGACATACAAACTTAATTACAAAATACTATGTCCAGAAGGAAAAAAAATAACTTGGTGGATGACTATTATTGGAGAACTTAATGTAAATTACTTCAAACATCTTATAATCTTCAACATAAAAATTGTTCAAATACTTTTCCTCAATAAAGATCAGTATGAGGATGAGCTTTCTCCTCTTAATTGTATCTTGCAGTAAATTAACAACACCTAGTAATCCTTTAGCTGTCATTTAGAACGGTTAGTATTCTAGAGAAAAATAATCACACATCAAGGATTCTTTTATCACCTTTAAATCCCTTAACTAAAACAATTTTCACATTTTATTTCTTTAAAGAATTCTAAGGATGCTTTTACAACAATAAATTACAAGATTTGAAAAAGTACACGTACAAGCACACAGAAATTGTAATTAAGGTTACTTAATAAACAATAGCTACACATTAAAATTGATTTTTTTGATGTTGCATTTTGTTTGAGATTAAGTAACTGCCTGATAGAATTCATTTTACTATCTGATCAAAGCCTGACTTCATATATTCTGACGTTTCTCACCAGACTGCCATATTATAAAGACTTGAGTATTGATGAAACATCAAAACTTACAAATCATTTACATAAAACAGCAGAAACACAGAACAAAGTCATACTTCTATAATGTTTTCTACAATTTTAAAGACAAACAACTGCATTTAGAATTCTTTATAAAATAAACCTTAACCTCATCTCGGCTTCTTCTAGGCATATCGCGTCCTAGAAAATTGTGATATGTGATCGCTTAAAAAAATTCTTATTATACATCTGGAACACACACATTAAGGACATATGGTTGAAACAGCAACCAGCCTCTTAAAATAAAGCCTCTATTTCTGCTATTCAGCTAGAATTCAGTTTTCTACCTTGCTCATATTTTTGTAAAGTAACTTATTGTTAAGGTTTAACATATTTAGAACAGACTGCAGATGCAATGGAACTCCAAAGAGATATCCAATGCTGGACTTCAAATAACAATGAAATAAAGTTAAGCTGTCTGAAAAATCCTCGCAAAGTCCATGAGTTGATTTAGCTCGTTGTCACTACCAATCCTATTAATACATTTGGTTTTGTTCTGACTAGGAAGATAAGTGTCCTTACAGTATTTATTCTATCAAACATTTCCCGGTTAACTGAATCTCCTACCAGGATGCTTTTCCTATTGTTGAATGTTAACAAGCAGCTTTATTCTTTCTTCAATCCTTGTCCCAACAACAACAAAAAATGTTAGTTTTCTCCACATGCTCTTATTTCATAACTATAATGTTGACCTTAACACAAAGCTTTCATATTAATTTCAAAACAGTCTGCAAACAAAATATGTATATTCTAAATTGGCTTCACTTATAACTATGATGCTTGCTTGAACTTTCACAGATATACATACAGAAGTCACACTCTATTATATATTAAAGGCAAATTTTTGAATTTCATTTTCCTTCTTTCTCTCCAAATTACCATGCTAACTTACTATACTTCGGTAACCATGATATTCAAAGAGACGAAGGCATTTTTAGAAATCTGTGCCAGAGAGAAGAGCGGCTTGTTCTTTGGTAATTCTCTAACTCCCTCAGCAACTTACCGGGATTTTCCTGAGGTCTTCATTGCTTGTCGGGTTCATATGAAAACTAACAAAACACAAACATAAATGTTAAAAGTGTGTCACAGTCCATGTGGGAGAAAACACAAAATGTTTAACCAGTATTGCAATAAAAATTTCAAAGTCCCAAATTTCTCAAACGAGTGAAATTTAATCCAAGATGTAGAAGAAAAACAATTTTTACTTAACATTCTTTAATCATAGTGATTTTATCCAGCAAGATTTTTTATAACATATTATTCACTTTATGTACACACACTCACTCACCTTAAGGCTTCTGATATAAAACTATGACAAATTAAGTAAATTTAGGTTGGAAAGAGTTGGAATAAAAAAATTAAAACAATCTTTGTTTAAAATACTACTTATTAGAAAAATGAACTTTCAAACATTACCCTATCGATGAGGATAAATTCAGAGTTGCAGAAACCCAGTCATTAATGTGATTTCTAAGTAGCTAGTCTTCAAATTTTAAATACAAAAACAGACCAAAACAAAACACATTTCCTCCATGAACAGCATAGGAAAACATCACAGCTGAATGCTATAACCATTTTCTTCTTTGGAACATATCCATTAGGAAGGGGACTGCAACCAAAAAGAAGCTAAACTTCAAAGCCATCTGATGAGTAAATATTTCATCGGTGCTATTCAAGTTTAATTTTTACCCAGCACTTAAGAGTATTAGCCTTTACAATTCCTACAAAGCATTACTGTCCTAAGAACCTTTTTATTCCACACAGGCATACACACAGACTTAACTGCAAAATATTTTTTTATTATCTGTACATTATTAGCAAAATAACTGGGATCCTTTGAGAATCTAAGAATTCACTTTTAAAACTTTTGATTGTGTGACAAAAAGGCTGGACACTGGATATAAGGTCTGGAAATATCTATAATTACAGGTACATATCTTAAGTTGTAAAATCTACGAGACACACATGCATGTGCAACCACCTTAAGAGAATTTCCCACACAGCCCAGGTTTCATTTGCTATGACTAAGATTTGTAGTACTAGCTTCTAGAACTGTTGGCTGACTTTTCTAGCTAGAAATCCCATAGATAAATTTAGTATTTCAGTAGTGCTGGGTGACACCGTACAGAAGAGTGAAACATGTTTTAAATATCTAGAATGCACCATGCACAGGCTTCTGTGGCTGACACATTTTCTCATTCCCTGTGTCTCACCGTCTTTATGGTATCCTGCATGCTCCTGGACTAGAGTCATTGTACCAGCCAAGCCTCAAAAGCCTGACAAAAGAGTGGCTTAAAAGAAAACGAAGACAAAAACAAAATCCAGAAAGATGTTATCATATAGTCCACCTTGGCCTTGAGTGCCATGGTAGCAGCTGCTAACACATGTGGTTTCCATCCTCTCTGATTTTCAATCCAAGGGAGTCGACATAAGGGTCCAGAGGAACTAAGCTCTCCTTGCCCCATTATCTCACAGCATGTTTTATAATAGGTCAAAAAAACATTCTGCTACATCTCTCTCCACCTGACTGTGATATCCTCAAGGACAAAATAATTTACGTTCAGGTCTGACCAAGGGGCTTCCGAGTAGAAAAGTGGTTGAGGGCCATGTGGCCAAATCCTGGGTCTACCCTGTACTTGCTGTGTGAACTTAATTGAGCAAATTGCTTAACTCTGATTGTATCTCAGTTCCCTCACCTGTAAAATGGGGATGGCAACAGTACTGACCACATGAGACTGCCATGAAAATTAAATGAGTTCACAACACGTAAGACATTTAGCACAGTGACTAGCAGAATGTTTAATTAATTAATTTATTTCATAGACTTTTACGTAGCACTTAATCTGTAACAGACATTGTTTTAAGCACTTTAACAAAATTAACTCATTTAATCTTCATGACCCTTAAAGGGGTCATATGGTCCCATATCTTCCTATCTTCCAAGTCTTCATTCTAAAAATGAGGAAACAAGTCAGAGAGGGTAGGTAAGTTGTACGGGGTCATTCAGTTGGTAACTGGTGGAGCTGTCTGGCCCTAGAATCTGTCCTAACTGTGACAGCTAGCCCTAGTCCCGTTACTTGTATGTAGGTCTACTCTAGCAGTGGCTGTGCTGCTGAAGCCCTGAACATACAAGCCACATAGATTAATCACAGAGTAAGCATCACCTCATTTTGAGAAAGCACATGGTAGAGCCGGACTTACAGGAGGAAGGGAGAGAACACTCTTGATAGTTAAATTTTTAGATCACACAGAGAAAAGAATTATTCTGTCTTCCTTCAATTAGTCAAAGAAGGCCTAACTTATGGAAAAAGCGGGTTTTAAAATGACATGCAGGATAGATCTGGCAGGCTAGAGAAGGAGACTCTGCAGACATATGGCATGGCCTGGGGCTGCTAGACAGCAGTGTCACTGCAGGACACTGAAGAGACTGGAATACCAGGCAGCAGTACAGGAAGGCACCCTTGAAGGGTTCTGATGCCAAGGGTTCTGAGGACCTTAGACCTGACCCAAAGAACAAGAGACACATTTTGGACAATGTTATTCTTCTCTCATAAATATTATTTAAATGTTTCATGTTTGGTGGTATAATCCATCCCATCACATCTTCGAGAATGAATGATTATTATGACTGTATAAATTTCAGTATAAGTCTCAGGAAGAAATCATTGAACTAAGAAATAGAAATGCTGGCATTGTATTTACTGTAATAAAGGTATTTAAAAAACAGGCATTTAGGACAAATATTTTATCAAAATCACAAAACTGACCATATGTAATATCGAATCACTTTGTCTTATGGAACTAAAATGAAACTCAATGACCAGCTGAAAAATGGCTGAGAATTCTTAAGAATGATTAGGTTTAAAAGGTTGCAGCTGTATTGGGAATGGCGTGCAGTGCTGCAAGCCCGGCTGCTCGCCATCACACCAGAGCGCATCTGAGCTCTCCGAGACGTGGCTCCAGCTCACCCCAGTGCAGACCAGAGTGAGAGTGCCCTTGTGCAGGCCATTGTGTGAAATATACACAGAGCCCCTCCCTCATGGTCTGCTTTATATTCACACACTGACATGTCAAACACATGACAAACTCAGTCATTCATGGTTGCCTTTTTTGATCTGTCCTTAACGAGGGGAAAAGAGTTAATTGAACAGGATTGAATTAGCTTGGTGAAAAATAAAATATCTCTATTTATGCAAGTGTGACACCAATTTGTGATACCTTTCTCTTTGGACTGCCATCCTCATGTCAGACAAGATACCGAATAATATAGTCTGATTGCTCAACTGACCTGTTGATAGGTTAAGGAAAATGGCATTTTTAATCAGGTATGAAATAAACTTCAACATATTCACATTGAAAAAGAAGTCTATACAAACTGAAACTCCAGGATTTAAAAAATTACTTTTAGAAATCAGAACTAAAGCATTTGGAGGTAGTAGAGAATTTTAAAGGAACTTTTAAAGTGAGGAAAATACTTTAAATTAATATTTTAAAAAATATTTTAAACTGATAAAATGTTTTACCTTAACATTCTGAAGTTTCAAAAAGCTTGAATATTTTTACTTTGTGATGTTTCCAAATCTTAAAGAATTTTTTCCAAGTAAACTAATTCTGAAATTTGAAATTAATAGTCGCAAATATACTTCTAGGAAACATAAGCATCTCTCTTCAAATTATTCATTGATTTGCAACATCACTTACAAATTTATCTCAAACTTATAATAATGAGTAGAGAAATAAGAAATAAATTGGTAGAAACCTGAAGTGTTCTTCAGTTTGTGCTATGGACTTCCATAAATAGGCCAGAAAAACAAACCAATCTTTATAAAGTAATAAAACTGATCACTGCAGTAATCACTAAGGCATTTGGCAGTAATCAAAGTGTTTTTCTTTTTCCTTTCTCTTCTCTTCTGTAAACATACGTATATCTTTGTGGAGCAAGAAGACCTAAGAAGGGGAAAAGGCTACATTCAGAGTGGAAAAGTATAAAGTACTCGTAAAGACCAAAAAACTCACATGAGAACAATGATCTGTTAGAACTACAAGACAATGCAAACTGTATAAATTCCTGGCTCTAGGATTTTAAATCTTTCATGAGAAGTCACGTGAGACTTAAGCTCTTTGGAAGGCATTTCAAAACAAGTATTATTAGAATATTATTACACCTTCCATAATATCTCTTTCCAAATCCCATTACTGCTGAAATTATAAAGCAAAGTCCATTTTGGCCTACAACTTGACGTATTTTGTATTCAATACGTGAATTCAAATTATCTGCAAAATCCAGGGGTTCTACAAAATCCAGGTTTGCCACCTGGCTGGGAGGAGAGAGGAGGGTTATAGAGGAGTAACTTTCTCAAACACTAGTTAATTCCTTACTGTTTGTGAGAAATAAGTAGAACTTTAAAATATCACAGAGCTTCTAACACTAATTATTTTCAAAGAGGAGCATCCTGTTCATCTTGTTTAACTGAGGGAGTGGGCTCCAGAGACCTGGGGCTTCACTTTGGTGACAATGGCAGTTGGGAGGTGGCATATACATAACATAAAACCTTTAATGAGTCTGAAAAGAGAGAGAGAGAATACCCCATTGATAGTTCTTCGATGCTTCATCTATAATGAAGTACAGAATAACGACATTAGTTTTAACAGCAATTGGTATCTACTGGATTTTAACCACAGTAATAGGCACCTTTCTGAGCACTTTACATGTTAACTCACTTAATCCTTCTAACAATCCTATGGAGTGCTACTTTTATTTCCATTTACAGATGAGGAAGCGGGCACAGAGAAGTTAAGAAGCTTACCCAAAGCAACACAGTTATCAAGTGGCAGAGTCAGGATGCAAAGAAAGGCAGCCAAACTCCACAGCACAAGCTCTTTTGCCATAAACTTTACTTCTTCCACAGAGCGGCTCTAAACTCTTCAATCTCATTGTGAGCTCAGAGTTAGTTGGTTTCAAAGGAGTTCAACGCAATTTCCTAAGGATTCTTCCAACCAGAAATGGTTAAGAAAAGTCTTAAACTTAGACAGTCTTTAAAGACACAGG